ACCTCATAACTCTCATTCAAAACCCTTCAAAAAGTCTCTGAAGCCATCAAGTACTGTCCTAATTGCTTATTTAATCTGGCTTTCAGGCACCATCCTGATTTGTTCTGTAGCTTCCTCCCCAGCTCTCGCCCATCCATATCCACACACACCCATGCACACAGGCACAAGACACTGCAGTGCAGACCGACACCCATGGACCGCACACACTTTCCTGCCTCCACACATATCCATGCACAAAGGCACAAGACGCTGCAGTGTAGACCGACATCCATGGACCGCACACACTTTCCTGCCTCCACACACACCCATACACACAGGCACAAGACACTGCAGTGCAGACCGACACCCATGGACCACACACACTTTCCTGCCTCCACACACATCCATGCACACAGGCACAAGACACTGCAGTGCAGACTGACATCCATGGACCGCACACACTTTCCTGCCTCCACACATATCCATGCACAAAGACACAAGACACTGCAGTGTAGACCAACATCCATGGACCGCACACACTTTCCTGCCTCCACACACACCCATGCACACAGGCACAAGACACTGCAGTGCAGACTGACATCCATGGACCGCACACACTTTCCTGCCTCCACACACACCCATGCACACAGGCACAAGACACTGCAGTGTAGACCGACACCCATGGACCACACACACTTTCCTGCCTCCACACACACCCATGCACACAGGCACAAGACACTGCAGTGCAGACTGACATCCATGGACCGCACACACTTTCCTGCCTCCACACATATCCATGCACAAAGACACAAGACGCTGCAGTGTAGACCAACATCCATGGACCGCACACACTTTCCTGCCTCCACACACACCCATGCACACAGGCACAAGACACTGCAGTGCAGACCGACATCCATGGCCCGCACACACTTTCCTGCCTCGGCACCTGTGCTCGGAAACGATGCCCTTCACTATAGTTCTCTTCACCAAACCAACTTGCTAACAGGCCAGCCATCTTTCAACACCTATCTCAAATACCTCCTCCAAATGAAGTTAAATAAGCGTGTTTCCTCTCCCCTGCTTACTGTGTACCCCGATGTTCCCAACCACTTCAAGCTTCCTCTTTTGTTAGGTTGATCTTGACCAACCTAAAAAAACTACCAGATTTTCCTCCTCTCTGAATTTATCCAAATCTAACTATAGATTAAAAAATAAAATACCACTTATTTCCTCCTACACCTCTTTCCAGCATTCATTTAATTATGAATGGACACATGATCCAAAAAGGGGTAATAATACTACCTCACCTTTCTGACCACTATGAATGATTAAAGTGGAGATTCCATAATCCAAGTCCTTAGAATTTAACACTGAAGCAACCAGACTCTTTTCTTTCTCTTAACTTAAAAAACTGGAAGACATGAGCCTAAAGCTACCTGTGACCATGCTGTACACCATGTGAAAAAAGGCTGCCAATAGCAGTGAAGAATAATTCAAGAAGCAACAATAAGAAAACTATATATAGACCAACCTGATTTTTGTTGTTGTTGTTACTCCTCACCCGAGAATATTTTTCCATTGATTCTTAGAGAGGGTGAAAGGGATGAAGGGTGAGAGGAGAGGAGAAAGAGAGAGAGAGAGAGAGAGAGAGAGAAATATCGACGCAAAGGAGACACATCAATTGGTTGCCTCCCGCATGACCCCGGAAGGAATCTGCAACCAAGGTACATGCCCTTGACCAGGAATCGAACCTGTGACTCTCTGGTCTGAGGGCCAACATTGTAACCACTGAGATAAATTCACCAGGACTAGACCAACCTGACTTTGATCAAGTCTCTGGCTGGTCCCTATGATCTATAGTTCCTGCTGTTTTTCTTTACATTCTGGAAACTGAATTATTTCTGTATCTTTGTGTGGTAGATAGTCATCAAAGATAGCTGCCAATAATCCCACCCATTCCTTTATGCACAAATCACTTCATTGGTCACGTGGAGTTTTATCTCCTCCCCCCGAATCTAGGCTGACAGTGGTAACTTGCTCTGACCGAAAGAATGCAGCAGTTTCAGTACTGGGCCTCAAGTAACCTGAAAGCTTCTCCTTTCACTCTCTTGAGATCCAGCTGTTAGGCAAAGATTCTCAGTTTAAACTACTTAGTGGTTAAGTGGAAGGAGGGAGGCCCCCCAGCCCCCAGCCAATCCATCAACCCTTGCTGGGGCACCCTTCATGTGGGTGAAGCCACCATGGATGCTCCGGCCTCAGCTGAGCTCCCAGCTGAATGCAGCCAAGCTGACACCAAAACAGTGTCCTAAAAGAACTTCCTGGCTGAGCCCAGCCAACTCACAGATGATAGGAAACAATAAATCATTGTCTTGTTAAGCAACTAAGTGCTGGGGTAGCCTGTTTCCCAGCAATAGACAGCTGACACACTTTATTATGCGTAAGTTGATCCAGTTGGGCTTTCTTCTGTCATTTACAACTCAGTCCTAACTAGATTGTATACAGGACATATCACTCTTTCCGTTAAAGTTCATAAATTCAAGCACCCTCGTTTTCACTCCCAAATTAGACAACTGCATGACTGGTAAGGGGCTACAGAAAGATGTAAGAAAACTGATGAAAAATGAACTATTTCAGAGCAATTTTCTGCATTATCAGAAGTTACTAGAGTAACAAAACTCTTGTAGACGGTCTAACATGTATGATAAAAAAATCCATCGTACCCAAAATGAAAAAATCTATGTTTGAGGCCCAAGGTCTCTAGCAATGTGCTCTTGGGCCCCAGTTACCTCCAAGGCGTTAAATGATGGTACATCAGTAGCTCACAACCTTGCATGCACGTTAAAATTGAAAAGCTTTATTTTAAATAACACGAATGTGCAGTGGCACAGACCAAATGCATCAGAATCTCGGGAGTAGGCCCAGTGCAGGAAAGGTGATTTCTGCACCTTCTCTCTACCTCCTTTCTCACTCTTCCCCTGGAGAATGAGACTGATTCTTTCCAAGTAAATCGACCCAAGTCTACTCTGCAGACCTGGCCAAATTGTTCTTAGTCCCTTGTAACTGGCAATCTCATGCCATTAAAGTAAAAATAGGAGGCCCAGCCTCCTGGTTTCACTCTTTTTAACTTTCCCTCGCAGATACCCCTCAGGGCCAGCTGCAAACCAGCGTTAACACTGAAAGTGGGTGGGGACGCAGGGTGGGGTTTGGAAAGGTTTCCTTGGGTCTCAGTCTAAGTCATCGTCTCTGGCCCAGCTGTACCAGACAGCCTGCAGAAAGGGTTAGGAAATGGTTATGAAACCTTGAGCCCTGTTTCTCCTGTACTATGAGATGTGAATCTCCCTCAGAAACACTAAGATAAGGAAAAGCAATGACCAAGTAGAGCTCAGGCATTCCTGAGTCCTGCCTGAGTACTCCCTTGATGTCATCAAAATCTCACAAATACTGCAAATATTTTGGATCTGTTTACTGTTCCTCTCTACAATCTATCATTTAAGAAGGTGTTTCTGAAAGTTTTACTTGTTATCATCAAACTGATGAGTTGAAATAAACACAGTAAAACATGTATACTATAGATTTTATTCTGAAAAAAACAAAAGCCACTCTTCTTGGAAACTAAAGGCAGCAATATTAATATGTTCAGATAGAGCATGTGAGGGGCTCAGATAAATAAATTTTACCTTAATAAGCTTTTATGGCCAATACATCGAGTCAGAAAACATTTTGTTTTCATTTACTCATCTTGACTCCGAAAGCAAGCAAGCGGCCGGGCCCATAGTTATCAGACCCGCTCCTCTAGCTGGAGGGACCTAGTGAGAAGCTGGTCTGCTGAGCGGAGGAAGGCAGGGGAGCGGAGGAAGGCAGGGGAGCGGAGGAAGGCAGGGGAGCGGAGGAAGGCAGGGGAGCGGAGGAAGGCAGGGGAGCGGAGGAAGGCAGGGGAGCGGAGGAAGGCAGGGGAGCGGAGGAAGGCAGGGGAGCGGAGGAAGGCAGGGGAGCGGGGAGCGCTGAAAGACGGGGCTCTGCCAGGCTGCGGGCCTTTCAGTCCTTCCAGGGCGCTGTCCTAACACCCACCCTGCTCCTTCGGCTCCTGCTGAGACTGAAGCGACCAGGACTCACAGAGATGAGCCGCACGTCTGCAAGATCACGAAAACTGTCATCTAAGCCCCCCTCTCCAGGAGAAGAACACCTGGCCTTTCTGCTCCAGGGATAGCTTTCTTTTTTTTCTTCTCTTTCTTTTTTTTTATATGCATTCAATATAGGCCTGATTTAAAGAATGTGCAAGATGTTCAAATCATTTTAGTAGTTACCAAAAACTCAAAGAGAAAGTGTGTAAATATTTAAGTTAGCCCAGAAGCAATCCTGCAATAGACTACTAAGCAGTAGCCCATTCGTTGTTCTTCTCTGCAGAGTCGTCAAGAAAAAAGTGGTTGAACAAAATAAGCTGATGAACAAAATAGACCCAGAGACATAGAAAGGAGTATGGTTCAGGCTGACAAGCCTCAGAGGAGGGGGGCAGAGGGGAAGGTATGAGATAAACCAAAGAACTTATATGCATGTATGCATAACCAATGGACATAAACAGTGCTTGGGGGGGGGGGGGGGCGAGTATCAGGAGGAGGGTGTGTGAGGGGGGTGAAGAAACATCTGTAACAAATAAATTAGTATAAATTGCCCAAAAAAAAAGAAAAGAGAAAAAGGTGGTTACATGCTGTTGGAGAATGACCAATAAAAATAGCCAGGTTTTCAGAATGGAGGTATCAATTATGACCATAGTCAAGTGGTCTTTACCTTTTCCCAGCCTGAAAATTTCTAAATCAAATAGCTTTGTTTTCTACAATGCAAATACTATATTAAAGGTTCATGTCAGTAAGCCACCAAACTATGGGCCAGTTTTTGGTTTCATAAACTTCACAAACTCATGAATAAAAAGTAATTTTCTTTTTTGCCTGCTGTATACAACATATCATTAATTCCTATCTAGAACCCTTGAAGAAAACAATCAGATAATGAACTTTTTAACTCACCTTGGATGAAGTGACAGGCTCTTCCTGATGAGCATTTCTGCACTTTTTTCCTGCATCTCGCTCTGCTGAGGTACTTTCTTCACTTCCTGGTGAAATCAATCGCTTTCTTCTTTGCTGTGTTATGTTTAGTTGGGCTTTATCTTTGCAGATTCCTTCTCTTCCACTTTCCTGGATTACATTATCTTAACACACATAAGTACACATACACAAAGAAAAAGGAGAAGGAAATTATCTCCTGTGTCTTCAAATGTCAATAATCCATACCAAAAAAAAACCTAACTATTCATTCCTAAACCATGCAGTTTAGTTTTGCCTTTTGTTCTTTGGTTTTGACTTACAATAAATATAAGCATACAGAATATATTTTGTGTCTGCCTTTTCTTTCATGGCCATATATTTGTGAAATGTATCCTTGTTGTGGCTAATCCTAGTTTTTTAAAAAACTTGTAGTGTCATATATCTTTCAATTATTTTTAAAAACTTGTAGTGTCATATATCTTTCAATTACACAAATATATCACAATTAATTTATCCATGCTCTTTTTGATGAACTGTTGTGGTTCTTATGAATTGTACTGTCATGCCCATTCTTGAATATTTTTCTAGTTGTACATGAATACACACTTCTGTTGGATACATTTCCTTTGGAGTAAAATTACTGGGTCATGGACAATGCACATATCCACTTTCTTGGAAATTAGTGACTGTTTTCTGAAATTGTTGTAATAATTTAAAACACCCCTAGCAGCAAATGAGACTCTCAATTGCTTCATTTGAAAGTGATATAATTGTCACCCTTGATACTAACAAACCAATTTTAGATCCTCTAGTTTATGTATAGTGTTTAATTATGGTTTTACTTTTATTTTATTCATTATTCATGAGTTAGGACATTTTTCATAAATGTATTGAACACTGAGATATTGTAGCTGTGATTTGTGTTTTCACTTAGCCTGTCTATTTCCTTTTTTCTTATTAACGATGTTAAGAATCTTAAATATAGTACTGAAACGACATTTGACAGTTACCGCGTACTACAGATCTTGTGCACTTTGTGGCTTGCTTTCTTTTATGCTTATATTCATAGTAAGTCAAAACCAAAGAACAAAAGACAAAACTAAACTGCCTGGTTTAGGAATGAATATTTAATTAGTAAATGGAAAAACAGAAACAAAGAACTGATTTCCATAGAATTCAGAAAAGTGGCTTCTTCTATGAAAAAAAGGAGCGGGAGCATCGAGAGGAGGGCACTGCGGTGGTTCCCGGTGTGTGAGCATTATGCTGTCACGGGGTGTTCTCTCTGTGCTGAATCACTGAACTGTAAGTACTGAATATGTGCACTTTTATATGTATGCTATATATTAAAAAGAAAAAAGAATAAAAATAAAATGTTACTTTAAAAAAAAAAGATAAAGGAAAAGAATAAAAGAGCTAGTAATATTAAAGTTCCAGTTATGTTAATGTCAACTTGAAAACACTTATTTTCAAATTCAAGAAGTATTAAGCAAACAACAGCCAAGAGCTCCAGCCCTGGGGCCAGCAATGTTAAGATGCTAATGTAGGCAGGCTCCATCCTTGAACTGTTTTCACTTCACCTCTCCGAACTTTGGTTTCATCATCTGGAAAAAGAAAATTATAATAACAACTCATGGAGTTCTAAGGAGGAGTAAATGAGGTCAGATATATAAACTATCTAGGAGAGTAACTGATATATGTTAGCTATCATGTTTTTTTTTTTTATTTTAGCATTGAATTTCTCTAACAAAAGAATATCTGACATATCTCTATCCAATGAATTTTATAGATATTTATTGAGTTCCCAACAGCCAGAGCGAGGATTTCAACTTAAGTGACCTTACAGAGTAAGAACCGAAAATAACTCAAAAGGGAGAGTGACCTCTATAAACTTCATCGATGAAGAAAATAAGTCCCAATAACAATGGACACTATATCCCATGTCACACTTCCCAAGGTTCACTATAGTTAGGAAACTTAAGTCAGTATAATATTTTGTTAACGAATTTATTTGTTAATATTTTGTTAACTGTCTAATCAGAAAAGAAAGATCTTATTTTAAAAGGAAAGTTTTCATGGTTAGTTGTCTATTTCTTCTACACTTGAATGATAACTTCTTGAGGACAGAGACTTCACTTAGACTGTAATTTACTCAGAGTTGTTCTAAATCTAAAGGATATTCAATAACCTGGAAAAAATACTCCATTAAATTCAGGGGGGAAAATACTAACAGAATTATGTACTGTCCATATTATTAAACAAGAAAATCAATTGAATCAACATAAATATAATGCATTTATTAAAGGAAACTTATGAATAAACTATCTAATAACTAAACTTTACCTAAATCAGTTAAATATTTGTTTTGAATCTAAATTAGGAGGCATTCCATATCATTTGAAAAACTGCCAGAAATAGGACTGTACAGCTTATTGAAACAAATTACCAAATGTTACAACAGTTATGAACTAGTCAAACCAAGGGAAATAACCAACTATGGTATTGTTTACTACACTAAAAACTAAAAAAAATATAAATTAAATAAGACACAACTTTTGCCCAAATGGCAGTGTGCCACATTCCAAGTGTCAATATGTACATAGAATTCTAAAATTAAAAATATCTGTATTTAGCCCTGGCTGGGTAGCTCAGTTTATTAGAGTCGTCCTGATATGCCAAGGTTACGAGTTCAATCTCCAGTCAGGGCACATACAAGAGTCAACCAATGAATGCACGTGGGTTGATGTCTCTTTCTCTTTCTCTCTCTTTCTCTCTGCCTTCTTCTCTCTCTAAAAATCAATCAATTTCTTTTTAAATCGATATTTAAAATATTCAATTCTTTACAATTCCAAATTCTCTACTACAAATATTCCTTCTAGGGACCAGAACTAATTTCTTTTGCATTGGAAGAAGTCATTTTGATGTTTTGTTAAAATGCTTTTCACAAAGAGTATATCAAACAAGTACGTTAAGTGGCTCATACAATCTTTGTATCTGACATATTAAAATTTTTTCTAAATCCAGGATAGGTACAATTATGACAGAAATATAAAAGAAATTAACTACTAAAACGAATCAGTTTATTTTATTTATTTTTAACTATTACTCATTATATTTACTTACATGAGCTGCTACACTAATTCTGTGTGAGTGATAACTCTACCATAGGCATATGTCATTAAAATGACATCCATTTGATTTTAACTCCAAAGGAACCACTCCTAATAGTTTTATTAACAATTTGATGTGTATCCTTCTCAACTTGCCCTGAATTTAAACAAATATATCTACAAATACATATATAAAAATACACACAGGGCTAAAAGTATAAATGCTATTATTTCTGTGAGATAAATACCTAGAATTAGAATTTCTGGATCAAAGTATATTATGTATTTAAAAATTTAAGAGATTCAGTCAAATAAATTTAAAAAGCTATACCAATTTATACTTCCACCAACTATATTCAATGATATCCACTCTGTCAGTACTGGTTACTATCAACTGCTTAAATTTTGATGAGTTTGGTAAACAAAAAATGGTATTTGGTTCTTTCAATTTACATTTTCCTATCTTATAGTAATTATATACTGATTGGTTATTTGTACTCATTCTTCTGTAGTATGTCATATACAATACCTAAGATTTCTACTCAGTTTTACCTTCTTTTTTTGTTACTAAGTAGATAATTATTTAAAACCGTCCATCTAAATTTTATAAGTATGTTTAAATACTGGTTGATAATATTGTTTGTCAGTCTACTACTTGCCTCTGACTTTGTTTATAGTGTCTTTTGCATATAAATTTCCTTGAATTTTTAATTTAGATAGAGCTGTAAATTTTTCCCTTATTGTTCTAGGCTCCCCATCATCTTAAGAAAGCCTATCAGAAGAATAAAAGTATTTCCCCCATATATTTTTCAAATGCCTAAATTCAATAGAAATTTATTTATGAATATGGTATGAGTCTATGCGCTATTATTTTCTTCCAAATTGAAAGCTAATTTTCCCAACATCATTTATAATAATGCATCCTTTCCCCAACAATCTGAACTGATCATTTTTATATATGAAATATATGTTATTCTGTCTTGTTTCTAGGTATGCCAGAACCATCAACTACTAAAAGTAGGTACCAGGCCCAGACTGTGATGTAGGAAAGTTCTATGAAGAAACCGATATTTCTGTTTTCAAACTGTCTTTGAGCATATATAAAAAAGCTCCTAATTCGTTTTATACAACGCTGATATAGCTTTACCACAAAAATCTAACATAGTTGGCACCTGTGGGGAAAAATACAAACCACACTTATGAATATAGATAGAAATGTCCTAAACTAAATATTAGCAAATCTAATCTAACAGAGTATACAAATAATAAGCCATTATGATAAAACTGAACTTATTCCAGGAACACAATATGGTATAACATTAGAAAATCTACCGACCATTCATTACATTAACACATGAAAATGCAAGACTATTTCTATTCCAAAATAGTTTCCAAAGAATTCAATAGTTATTCCTGAAAAGAAACAACATCCTAAACATAAGAGTATCAGAATTAATTCCAATCCTATTATGCTGAAATACTAACAGAGTTCCTATTAAAATAAGAAACAAGAAACAAATACCAATTTTATCCATTTTTATTTAAAATGTATAGGTATAAGCTCATGAAATAAGGTAAGAAAAATTTAAGAAGAAGTAGATAGATCACAAAAGCCAAAAGTGTTATAATTTTGTAGATATGATCATACAGGTAGAAAATCCAAGAGGCTAAAAAACTATTAGAATTAATTAGATCATTTAGCATTAATGTAGCAAATAAAGTAAATACAGGGTAGGGCAAAAGTAGGTTTACAGTTGTGAGTATGCAAAACACTTTATTCTTGTATTATTATTTATTAATTATTGTATTATTTTCTATATGAAAAACTGTAAACCTACTTTTGCCCCCACCACCCTGTATATAGAATAACTAGAACTTTAAGTGAATTTTGAATGATAGTCAAATTAAGCAGTGTCAGTTTAAAATTTATAATCTGAATTGAGTTGTCATACACAAACTATCCAGAGTACAAAATCAAATGCAAACCAACTGGTTTGGGGACTACTTACTGCTTCAATCTTTATCAGCACGCGCTTCTTTCCATGCCTCCGTGTTGGAAGTGAGAAGACGGGAAAATAAGAGTACTACAAGGTAGCATGATACCAGTGACAGTCTAAAAGCTCCTTTTTCAATCTAGCAAGAGCACCATAACCTAGCCTAACAAGGCATTATGGCTTGTCCTGCAGCCTAGAAGGCTGAGGGAACAGAGATAAATGGGAGTCAAGAAAGGGGAGGTTCTCCAATTAAAAAATGGGCAGAGGAGCTGAATAGACACCTCTCCAAACAGGACATACAAATGGCCAAGAGACATATGAAGAAATGCTCAACATCACTAATCATCAGAGAGATGCAAATTAAAACAACAATGAGGTATCACCTCACACCTGTCAGAATGGCCGCCATCAACAAATCATCAAACAACAAGTGTTGGCGAGGGTGTGGAGAAAAGGGGACTCTAATACACTGCTGGTGGGAATGCAGACTGGTGGAAAACAATAGCAGCCGCTATGGAAAACAATATGGTGCTACCTCAAAAAATTAAAAATTGAACTTCCATTTGACCCAGTGATCCCACTGCTGGGAGTATACCCTAAGAAGCCTGAAACACCAATAAGGAAGAATATATGTACCCCCATGTTCATAGCAGCACTATTTACAATAGCTAAGATCTGGAAACAGCCCAAGTGTCCACCAGTAGACGAATGGATAAAAAAGCTGTGGTACATATACACAATGGAGTACTATGCAGCGGTAAGAAAGAAAGATCTCTTATCCTTTGAGACAACATGGAGGGACCTGGAAAGTATTATCCTAAGTGAAAGAAGCCAAGCAGAAAAAGACAAATACCACATGATCTCACTTATATACGGAATATAATGAACATAACAGTCTGAGGAATACAGTAGACCCAGACACATGGAAGTAGGGCACAGACTGACATCCCTCAGAAGAGGGGATGGGGGGTGGGGGGCTGGGAAGAGATAAACCACAGAACTTATATGCATGTATGCATGACCAATGGACATGGACAACTAAGCCGGGGAAAGGGTGGAGGGGGGGGGGTGTCAATGGGGTAAAAAGGTAAAATATCTGTAACAAAAAAATAAACAAAAAAAAAATTCATAAAAAAAAAATAAAAAAAAAAAAGAAAGGGGAGGTTCTGATAGCATTTGCCCAGATATATTCACTCCCAATCACTAAGGGACACAGAGAAAATTTTATCCCAGATCTGAAAAACTCACAATAACATCCAAGGGCTAGTACCTGGGAACCCAGAAAATAAAATAACCTAGAACTACACTGCTCGAATAACAGAAAGGATAGCCTGATCACAGTAAACATTCACATACATATAAGGATTAAACCAAGAGTTAAACTGAGAAAAGGTCCAGGAGAGAATACAAGGGCACATTTAAAAAGAACAATCAGAACATACAGAGGGTAATTCAGTGACTGTAAGGTAGTAACATGGTTCAACATATGGGCCGCAGAGTCAGGAATAGCTAGGTCTCAATCACAGCTCTGGCATCTATTACATGACCTTGGAGAAGTCATTTAACATCAGTTTACATTATCTGTCCTGTATGATGCAGAAGGTTCCAAAATACCAAGTTGGTTTCTGTTGATCTAAATAAATTACCAATGAACACAGTATGTACTAAGGGTGCAAATGACAAGAAAAAAACTTTAAATGAGCTTAAAACAAATCCTGGACATGGATTTTTAAAAACAACTAGCATTGGTCTATTGACTTGAATGGTATATTATTTAAATAAACAAAACAATAACAATAAAATAAAAACTACATAGCAGAAAAAGTTAAATTACTCCAACCTTTAATTAGCTGGATTTAAGTATTAACTTACTTCTAAATCTTCCTGTCTTGAAAGAAATTCAACAACCAAACTTTACTCTAAAAATTCTCCCTCAAAGTCTAAATTTATAAGAAGAAGATATACCTGAATCCAAAGACTCTTCTATCTTATTTTGAAGTTTTCACATTTTAAGTACATTATATACTATATACTATTCTTGTCCAAATCACTGTGAAATTACTCTCATTTGTATTTTCAAGGTGAAGTGCCCAAAAATGTGCTTCATATTTTATGTGGCACATCTAGCAAGTGAAAGGTAATAACTTGAAACAAAATTTATTTGGTCTATTGTAAGTAATGTAATAGTGGTGACAAAGAAGCAATTATAGTACAAAACAATTGTGAAAGAAAACAACTTGTTTGCAGGGAGGTATCCAATTTTGGTCAAATGGAGTTATTCTTTCGTTTCAGAGAAATCATTCTGCTGAGGGAAAGTGTCTGCCCCTCTCCACTACCATCTCCCATTGCCATCACCTTCCTGCAAACTGAGAATTGGCACATTTAATGAGAAATGCTGCAGGTCAAAATATATTATACATATAATGATGTGGGAGGGGAGTGAAAAACACTACAATGGAAAAAATCTCTTACCAGGAAATTTTAGGTTTAGATATGAAAATTCTCCAGGTTAAATCACATCTACCTCAACACATAATATACAACCTATTTTTCCCACAAGTTAACATCTCTGATCCTACTACAATTCAAACTAGCATTAAGTGAGGACTATGCTGTCCATAACACACTCGATCAAAAACTTTAGAAGACATCTGTGACCACTACACTGAGTATTAGAAACAGTAAGTCATAATATCAACTAAAATAAATATACAGTTGTGCTGTTAATTTATAAAAGATGACGTTCAGGGTGAAATGAAAGAGGAGCTTGAATGAACTGATCATCTCAAACAAAACCATTATAAATTCTGGACAAAATATTAAAAAGCAACTATTTGAAGACACTGGAGAATGACCCAAAAGGCAAAACTTGCAAAGAATCTAAGTTTGGAAAACTCACTACAACCTGTGAGGTTTGTAAATTTGTGGCCCTTTCCCTAAAGCAGCTCCCAACTCACAGATAGCAGAAAGCTGCAGCCTTGGTGGCTTCACTGGTCAGAGGACAGAGTTCGAAACTCGTGGAGCAGGTAGAAAGTTAGAGATAAATCCTAAAAGGAACAAAGCTGCAGAGAGCCAAGAACCAAAATCAATGCATAAAATCAAAATCCTTAGCTGACTCCATGCACATGGGGAAAAGCCCTAGAACCCAGAGAAAAAGCAGCAGATGGAAGCTGAAAGAACTAAGCAAAAACTACAACTGCTGTGCACACAGGGGAAACAGAGAGTTTAGGACTTGAATTAACTGCCTATTAGAAGAAAACTGCCTATCAGGTCAAATTAATTGCATAGTGGGACAAAAATATTTATTCAGAGGAACATAAAATCAAAAGCTCTATAATATATTATTTATAACATCCAAATTTTCAATAGAAAGTCACTAGACGACAATAAACAGGAAAATGTAACCATATAAAAAAAAACAAGCTGTCAAAAGAAATTGAACCTGAGATGACAAAAGTGGCAAATAAAATGCTTACTAAATAAGACAATGCAGAACACTTTTTAGTAATCTTGAATCAATGGGCATACCCAGCAAATGACATATATCATTGTAATATCTGCATGACTGTGAGCTATACTAGGACAGAGGTCATCTCTTCTTTAAATCCTCCAGCACGTACTTTTTATTTAATTATATTAATGTATAAAGCCCTTTACTGTGCTGGCCTGTTATCTCAGACATGACACCACAGGTTTGTTTTAAAACCTGTGTTAATATGCTAAGTCTGGCACATGTTAAATAAAAAAATAATTCGCAGGATTTTGATAAATGGCATAAAATAAGAGCTTGTGTTTTAAATTAGACTTCATGTACACATCTAAAAAAAAATGTTAGGCTAAGTTATACACCTACACAACTACTACTCTATCTCCATTTGTTCAGAAAAACTTTCAAATTCTGCTTAATGTTTTCTTGAAACAGAACCTACTTCCACTGATAACAGGTGCTGAAAGGCTCTGATCACCCAGGTCTGTTAGCATCCAGGCTGGAAGGACTCTTTTCCTCTGGGCGGGGTTTAACTGCTTCGTGCTGCAGTCTGAACATTCACCTAGAAAAGACTAAAAAAGCACCTATTTTATTAATTACCAAAAAGAAGCATGTGTCCTTAATAAAATTGTAAATTTATTTACTTTGCAGAAAACTACCATGAAAAAAAAAAAAACCATCTGCAACTATGGACTGAGTTAGTCAAATTTCTCAAAGAAGTAACTTTATGATCTCTATTAGTTGAAGTGTTGGTCTAGTGTGAAACACTCCAAGATTTAACTTAAAAAAAGCAAAAGCAGATCAGTGCTAGCAGTATCATCATGATATGTCTAGTTTCAGATGTCTTTTCCTTCCTTGAAATAACTTAAGGGACAGGTTACAAATGGATGAGATCTTAAATTTCTCACCACACGACTTGTGGTAGAAGTCGGGGGCGTCGCTATTCCTGCGCTTCTCTCCAGCGGTGAGGCACCAGCTTTCTCATCAGGCAGATTAACCAAGGATGATTCTCGTGTTCCAGTCAATCTATCATCTTCATCCAGCATTTGACTATTTCTATAAAATAAAATCAAAATCATTTATTCATAATTTAAATTTAAAACACTTCTGTCATTTGTCTTTAAAATGTGAGTCTCCCAAGTACATCTAAGTTATGCTGCTTTTCTCAGACTTAGAAGAACAAACAAAAACAGATTATAGTATAATAGAATAAAGTATTTAGACTAGAACATGTTTTTCATCTTCTGACCACAAGATCATCATAAAATACATTAATCTTTCCAAATCACGGGCCTAAAAACCACAGCTATTTATGAGATGGGGAGCAGCCAACTATCTCAAGGCTTAAGAGCTATTTACTTATTCAATATTTGTCCAGATAGTCCATAAAAGTTAAGATCACCACCTAGCATCCAAAATGAAAATGCAAACTGCAAGTACATCAGCTAAGTTAGTTAGGCTCTTAAAGAAAAAAATAAATAAGATCCTGATGTCAAGTTCATACATAGCTGCTACTGGGCTTCCGGCCAGGACAGCTACTTGTGAAATCTACCCAAACATATAGCCTGACTGGAAGCTAAATGTCCATGGTCACATGTGGAACATACTAGCAGAACCAATTGCTTCCTACTTTCTACAAAATGCGATTAAGATCATCCAAAGTTGATGCACCATTATTACTTATGTTATGTGTAGAGATGATCCAACAAATTTATCTTTTTGAAAATTTGAAAATGGAAATAGAAATACTACTCAGAAATAAAGATGAATGAACTTCTGGTATATACAACAACATGGACACATCTGAAAGGCATTTTGCTAAGTCAAAGAAGCCAGACACAAAGAAGCTATATATTATATAATTTCATCTATATGACATTCTGAAGAGATAAAGCTACAGGGACAGAAATCAGATCAGGGGCTGGGGGTGGAATGGGAGGACTACACAGATAGTTGATTGCTACTTCAAAGAGGTAAGCATGCTAAAATGGATTTATTATATAAGATTAGAAAATCTACCAGCTAGCTGACTATGTTCTCCAGAAGGACCCAGAACAATAAGCAATAAGGGACGCACTAGTGAGGAACTACTGAGATCAATGGCAACTGCCTCTATAGAAATCATGCTGGTGGTAGGCAAGGCTGCCAAAAAACAGGGCTCCTTATTATCAGTGGAGATGACAGGATTCTAGAATTGTACAGGCCAGGTGGTTAGCATTAACCATCAACGGCTACATGGATGTTACTGGCATAACAGCAAAGTTGGAATGGCACTGAGCAGTAAGCATCTGTAACAATGTCTGTCCACCTAGCTGGAGACCACATTTTACAGCTTTCCTTGCAACTCTGTGTAGCCACATGCCTAGTTTTTTTTGGGGGGGTGGAGGTGGGGGGGTGGAGAGGGTGGGAGGGATGTAAATGGAAGTGATAGTGCAAGACATTTGTCCTGGATTTCCTTCTTCATTTCCTTCCTACCACTGGAAACACCAATGATGAAACTAATTTGAAAGCTATATAATGAGGATAACACAGCTATTCCATTAGCTGGAGTATATGAATTACATTATGAAGGAGAACACACCTACAACTCTACTATATAACAGAAAAACAATCTATCTTGTTTAAGCACTGCATTTGGGGATAGTTGTTTTTTTTTATCCTCACTCGAGGACATTTTTCTATTTTTTGTTCAGATAGAGTGGGAGGCAGAGAGAGGGAGAGAGAGAAAAACATGGACGTGAAAGGGACACATCAGTGGCTGCCACCTGCACAACCCAACCAGGGCTGGGGACAAACTGCAACCGAGGTACGTGCCCTTAGCAGGAACCAAACCCAGGTCTCTCTGGACTGCAGGCTGACGCTCTAACTGCTGAGCCAAACTGGCCAGGGCAGTTTTTTCGTTTTGTTTCGTTTTGTTTTGTTTTGTTTTGAAGCAACTCAGCTTTTACTCTACTACATGTATCAGCAAACTGCCACACTTAGTCCAAATTTAGCCTATTACCTGTTTTCATAAAGTGCTACTGAAACAAGCCTTGGCTGTTTGTTCACAAACTGTCTATGGTTGTTTTTGCATAAGAAGATCAGATTTAAGTTATTAGGACACAGAACATATGTCTGCAAAGCCTAAAATAATTATAATCTGGTCCTTTACAAAGAAAGTTTGTCGCCCTGGCCGGTTTGGCTCAGCGGTTAGAGCGTCGGCCTGCGGACCAAAGAGTCCCAGGTTCGGTTCCCACTAAGGGCACATACCTTGGTTGCGGTTTGTCCCCGCCCCGTTTGGAGTCGTGTGGGTGGCAACCATGGCAACCACTTGATGTGTCTCTCTCACTTTGATGTTTCTCTCTCTCTTCCTCTCCCTCTCTCTCTCTCAAGATAAATGCAAAAATGTCCTCAGGTGAGAATTAAAAAAAACAAAGAAAGTTTGTCAACAAATATTCTAATACATAGTCCCTTTTCAGAAAGTATTCAGTATTTTAGGTTCATCTTTATTCTGCCTGTTCAAATGTTAAATATTCAACCATTTAGGCAAAGACATCCTTAAATGAATCAAATATTGCCAAAATGCTCAAAAGGGAGGGCTATACACTTTGAATCACATATTAAATGATGCATATGTGATAAATATCTTCAATTAAAAATAGCAGTTATAGTTAAACTAATCTTTAGGCAATGGTCTTCCAACTCTTGTTACTACATAAGTAATAAGAATCAAAGTGAAAAAAATTAATTGCTGCAAATCAGAAATCATTCTATCATCACGGGAATATTTGAAAACTCAAATCACAAACTGAAAAAAAACTAAAAGTGAAATCAACACCCTGAAGAAAAATGTATACTAGCATGCTAAAACCAGAACACTTCATTTTTAATGTAAAATCACAATTAATTTGGTTACTCTAAATTATGCACACAATTACCAAAACATATACAAAATATTTACTACCTCTTTCAACACATTTGACTTGATAGCAGCAACCCACCAGTAATATTCCTCATAATAAGCCTGAAAAAAGTACAGTGCTCTTAAAGTGGGTTGTATTTTCAGTTTTATCAATACTAAAAAATCCAAAATTCACCAATCCACAATCTGATTGAAGGTATATAACACTGATCTTTCACACCAAAGGGGCGAGCTAATTTGAATAGACATAAATAAAATGAAAATGGACATATAATAATGTAAATAAATTAGCAGACAATGACCATACTTTAATAGAAATGTACAGCATTTTCCTGATTTTTGAAAAGAGTATATAATTCTACTATGAAAATTTATTATAACAAAAAAATTAGCTTCTCTATATTTCTCATTTCAGCAGCTGGTTGAAAATAGCATTCTTTATACATGTGTGGTAAGAGGAAAAAGAAGAGGAAGATTTGTACTTTAAAATGGCAAACCACTGTTATTGAATTCATTTGGCCAAAATAAAAATAAAAATTTCCTGAGACAATTTCTTTCCATTTACTATTTTTTAAATTTAGATATAATTTATATACTCTGAAATGCACAGATCTGAAGCACAACATTTGGTTCTTTCATCAGGCAATCTTACCTTATAGTACATTCCAATTCTGTTTCAGAATATGTAGAGAACACACGGAAAATGTATTTGTCAACTAACAAAGAGAAACTATCTCCAGGATTCAACCAATGCCATAGATTTGTCTTCAATGGTAAGAGCTGGCTCTTCTCAGAGGACTGATAAAAACATGGACTTGTGTGTATCTAACAAAGAAAGAAAGAATTCAGTGATATTATAACTCAAAATTATGACAAAAATACAACTAAGTATGAACTGACACAAATTTTTAATATAAAAATTTAGGTATATAAGAAACGTAAAAGTTTAATAAATCTGGTACTTATAAGTACCATAATTTTTATCTATGCAAAAGAAAAAAAGCTGTAATATACCTCCTATTTCTCTAGGAGTCAAAGAAAAGAACAAAGTTATCAACTAACTGGTTAAAAGATACGTCTGTTTTGCTTGAGATAATTTGACATTGGAAAGAAAAACATGAAAAAGAATTCTCAGTATGGGAACTAAATCCCTTAACTTTGATATCCAAAATTCACCAATCCCTTGGAAATAGCTAGCTTCTTTTCCACTGATTTTCCCTTAATAACTTAATTACTATGATTAAAAAATTAGAAACTATAAGAAGACTTTGGTCCTATCTCTCAAGCATAATTTGGATTTTTGTTTTGTTTTGTTTTTTAGCTTCCCACTGAGAAATCTTATTTTGTTCAAATGAAACCCCACTATGAAAATTATCATCCACATTCAAATTGCAAGTAGTAAAATTTCTCAGTGTCAAAACTATTACAATATCCACTATTTTGAGTTCTGTTTGACACCAAAAGCTTCCATGTTAAAGATAATGAAGTTTCCTTCATAACTAAGAGCTATTGAAAGACCTTAAAAATTCCAACTAGAATCAAGCTGAAAGGGGCCATTTCCAAAGGTCAATTGCCTTTTTGTCATCAATATGATTAAATGTTTAAAATATATATGCTTTAGTGTACATCAAAACAATCTACATTAATGCAGATCTTTGATTCTTTTACTAGAATCTCACATAGAGCAACTCCCCCTACCATCCATCCTTCCATCCATCCAACCCCTTCATCAATTTAAGTGAGACTTTTTTGAGAGACATCAACAACCTCTCCAGTACAGCAAGGTAATTACCACCTTGGTATTGGACATATGCTGAACACTTCTAGTTTTTCTATTTATACTTCATTCAAGTATCTTCAGATACAATTATATTTTCATACATTAAAACCTTTTCTGGTCCCAATCATTTTAAATATATGTAGGTGTTAAGGTATGTTTTATTTGTTCTGAGTTTGAACAGACTAGAATTCAGTATAATTACAGTAGGTAAAAACTTCTGTTCCTACTGTAAAAATACTCATTATGAAAAAATTAAGAAAGTTTATAATAGGCCTATTTTTAATATATTTTGAAGTTATAGAAATATATCTTTTTTTTTTCATTTTATTCCTCAACAGATTTCTCTGCATTCAAAAACTTGGTTAAATTTTTTATTAAATATACTCACTTTCATTTTGTAAAAAATTTAAGCCTTTGTATAATATAAACTAAGTAAAATATAAACAAGTCTAGAGTGTTTTATAAAACATGAAGAAATAATATTATTTACTTTGGTAGGCTACTTTGCATTGTTCAGTTATTATTTTTTTTTAAAGCCTATTTCTCCAGAATATGAATAGAATATTTCAGAAGTAAATGTATTATATATTAAAACATACCAAAATAGCCCTGGCCGGTTTGGCTCAGCGGTTAGAGCGTCGGCCTGCAGTCCAGAGAGACCCCGGTTCGTTTCCCACTAAGGGCATGTACCTCGGTTGCAGTTTGTCCCCAGCCCTGGTTGGTCGTGTGGGTGGCAGCCACTCGATGTGTCCCTTTCACGTCGATGTTTCTCTCTCTTTCTCTTTCTCCCTCCCACTCTAACTAAACAAAAAATGGAAAAATGTCCTCAGGTGAGGATTAAAAAAAAAAAAAAAAATATCCACAAACACTTACTGAAAATCTACCGTGTTCTCCTACTCCATCCAAATGTCAAGTCCCATATCATTTATTTACCTCTGAACTATCTCTTGAATCCATTTCTCTTTGCCATCTGCAGTCATGCTAGTTCAAGTTCATACCCACTGCTTGCGTTTCTTGCTTGGGCTAACATTACATCAAGTCTCCTGTTTGCATTCACCTCACTGCTTCCCAAGTGATTCAGACGTGTCTCTGTGTAAAGCCTCTGATGATTCCCCAGTACAAACAAAGCACAGCAGCGAAGGCTCTCATAAACCTGCAGTGGCTTCCAACCTCACCTCCCACTTTCATACGCCCAGATCTTCATACACGGAATCTTTGATACAATCATGGATGTCTATACTTAAAATGCTCTATGATTTACTACAGCCTGAGATATCATATCCCACCTAGCTTTCTGCATGAATTGTTTGAATCAGTCCTTATGAGTTCAAAAATTATCCATAATCATCTAATAAATCACCACTAGACTGTCAGGTCCATGAGTGCATATAACTGTACCTAACATAGAAGTCTCTAATAGCATAAAAATCGATATTTTAACTATCAGTCATTAGTGAATAATACCAGTAATGGTTCCAAAGAATTTACTATAAGAAATGAGGCTTAAAATCTAATGTATTTACTAAAAACACTACCTGTTGAGTCACTTAAATAGATTCATCACTAAAATCATTTCAATTCCATTCTCTATAAATTTTTAAACAACAATCACTTTCATCTTCTAAAAAGCCCCTGATAGCAAGCAGCTAGGCACATGGACTTACTGGCTCTCAAACCCCCCCTCAAAAATTGCACAAGTAACTTTCTCACTATACATGACCTCATCAAATACCATAACATTAGACTTTTAAACTAACCACAGAACCATAAAATTTGGGAAAAGAAACCTAGAAATGCCCTGGCCGGTTTGGCTCAGCGGTCAGAGCGTCGGCCTGCAGTCCTGAGAGACCCAGGTTCGGTTCCCGCTAAGGGCATGTACCTCGGTTGCAGTTTGTCCCCGGCCCTGGTCGGCTGTGCAGGTGGCAACCACTCGATGTGTCCTTTCACATCGATGCTTCTCTCTCTCTCTCTGTTCCTCTCTCTCCCTCCCACTCTACCTGAACAAAAAATGGAAAAATGTCCTCGGGTGAGGATAAAAAAAAAAAAAAAAGAAACCTAGAAATGATTTAGCTCAATTTTTAAAGAAAAAAACAAAACAAAAACTACATTTTAGAAGCTGAACTGTCCAAACAGTATGTTTAACCAAGCTGGAGACAGGGGGTGATACCGATATAGAATAGGGGGCATTAAAACAAAAGCTGTGTTGTTGAAAAATAAGTGTTGTTAACTAACGCCCCAATTTTAAAAAAAGAAAAAGATAACTTTGAAATGTAGAGTAAATATAATCTACCTAGTCCTGGCAATTTAATTTTGTGAGGTTTTGGCCATAAGACCTTCCTAGGTGTATCTGCAATGGAAAACATTTGTATTTCCTATAAATCTGTGTTAAAAGCAAGCAGTAAAATAAAAATTTGGAGATAAGAGGTGGAGGTAAAAATTTAAAACAGAGGCTATACAAATTTGGTAGGCAATTATTTTATTGGTCATTTTAAAAACCATATACAAGACTACATAAGAATGGAGATGCAGTGACACACCACATTCATAAAAAGAGTTGCAAATGTTTCATTTTTTTAAATCAAGTTCTAATGTAAACTTAATGTTCAGAAACCTTTCATTATTCTATCACTCACCCCTCATTTATCTCCCAAAGTGGCTCTCTGGCTAGAGCTTTTGAGTGCAACAAAGTATGACAAACCACCAAATTCGGAGCTCGTGCACACTGCTGGGCCTGGAAATCATTCCCTGTTACTCCTCAGGCTTTTAAGGGAAGCCTTCCCTTCCTTGAGTATGCCCTGGTCCCCAGAGTCAGGACTGTTGGGTAGCAGGAAGGACAAGAGTCAAAAAGGAATGTAGAGACTTCTGGTCAAGATGGTGGCGTAGGTAAACGCGGTATCGCGTCCTCCCACAACCACATCAAAGTTACAACTAAACTACAGAACAACCATCATTCAAAACCGCCTGAAATCAAGCTGAATGGAAGTCGTACAACTACGGAACTAAGGAAAAAAAAAAAAAGCAGCTACATCCAGACCGGTAGGAGGGGCGGCAGCGCGAGGGGGGGCGGCGGCGGAGCGAGACGGGCTGGTCCCACACCCAAGCGTGGTGGATAAAAATCAGGAGGATCCCGCGGCTGGGAAGGTCCTTCCTGAGGACTGAGGGGTCCCCGTCCCACACCAGGTGTCCCGTTCAGGGTTCCAGTGCCAGGAAGAGAAGTCCCCATAACTTCTGGCTGGAAAAACCAGCGGAAACTGAGGCTCAGGGAAGCTGAAGCAGCTGGAGCCCCAGGCAGCTCCCTAAAGGGCCCGCGCACGGACTTATCCGACTCTCTCCCTCTAAGCTCGGAGGCGAGGCAGCTCGAGGGGCACCAGAGACACACAGGGAAGAACTGAGCTGTTTGGCACTGGAGCGAGAGCTGGAGAGGCGGCTTCCTCGGGGACAAACGTGCTGTCAGAGGCCTTTGTTCCTTTGGTGAGCCCTTCCCGGGGCGGCAGACAGAAGCCATATCTGGGACTCCAGCAACCTGGCTCACACTCGTAGCCCCGCCCTGCTGACTCCCTGAGGCCCCGCCCCGCCCCGCCCCACACAACTTTCAAGCTGTTGCCACTTGCTTAACCATAGGATTGGCCGGTCTGGGATCCTGCTTCAGGTTTTTCCTAAATTCTTTCAAACGAGCACCGGGTCTCAGCGACCCCCATACCTCTCATTAAGTAATACACAGAAACAAACACAGGGAGGCAGCCAAAATGAGGATACAAAGAAACAGGTCCCAAATGAAAGAACAGAACAAAACCCCAATAAAAGAACTAAGCGAAAGGGAGATAAGCAACCTAACAGATACTGAGTTCAAAATACTGCTTATAAGGATGCTCAATGAACTTAGTGAGAACCTCAGTGAACTTAGGGAGGGCATCAAGACCATAAAAAAGTACCAGTTAGAAATCATGGATACACAGTTAGAATTAAAGGAGGCATTAACTGAAATAAAGAATAATTTACACAGCTTCAATAATAGAGTATGTAGATCCAAGGAGCAAACCATCGA